CACACACACACACACACACACACACACACACACACACACACACAGATATGAAGGGCTGAGGTTGTAGCTACATGGTACAGTGCAACTTAGCATACGTCCCCGGGTTCAATCCCCAGCACAGAATGGGGACAAAAAAAGGAGAGAGAGAGAAAGAGAGATTAACAGTGATTTCTGGATAACGGTTAAAACATGAGACTTTCAAATTTCTTACGCTTTTGCATCTACATTTTCGAATTCCTCAAGGATAAACTATAACTTATAGGAGAAAGGCAGCCATGGTGGTACACACCTATAATCACAGCACTCAGAGAAGCTGAGGCAGGAAGAGTAGTGCAAGTTCAGAACCAGCCTAGATTACATAGCAAGACCCTATCTCTAAAAAAAAAGAAAAAGAGGGCAGGGTATGTAGCTCAGCGGCACAGCGCCTGCCCAGCAAATACAAGGTCATGAGTTCAATTCCTGGTACAAAAAAAGAAAAGAAAAAAAGAAAAAGAAAAAAATCTCTAGGAGAAACACTGGTAAGGACATTTTAAATATCTCACAGTGAATTTCTGCTGAAGACTTACTGGCTCCTCCCAATGCAGATATAAAAAGCCCTCAGCAGAGATAGCACAGGGCTCTTCAGCATCAGCCCTGTCTACAGACACACAAGAGTCTTTTGATAACACAGGTAAGGCCTCCCAAGCAGGCCCTGCTTGAGCAGGCTGCCCAAGAGAAACTCTGTATCACAATGAGCACATCCACCTAGTTTGGACAGCCAAGTTAGCACAGTAAACAGTGAAATCAAGCTTAAAAACACAAAGAATTCAACAGAATTTTAAACAGAAACACACAAGCCGGGGATACAGCTTAGTGGCATTAAGTGCCTGCCTAGCAAGCACAAGATCCTGAGTTCAATTTCCGGTACCAAAAAAATAAATAGATAAATAAAAAGAAACACACTAGAAAACATTAAATTTGTTACCTACTGCCTCCTGAGATAACTTGAACTTTCTGTAAATAAGACTGTAAAACAATTTAATTAAAAAGCAAGTGACCAGGGGCTGGAGATTTAGCTCAGCGGCACAGCGCCTACCTGGCAAGCACAAGGTTGTGAGTTCGATTCCCGGGGGGGGGGGCGCACAACTGACCAAACACAATTTTCTTAGGCTCATAAATTTCCTTAGGTTCATAAATTATAGCAACTGCCTGGTCCAGAAGAAAGATATCATTCATTCTTTTTTTTTGTTGAGGGGAGGAGCACTATGTAGTTCAGGCTAGCCTTAAACTCACAGCAATCCTCCTGCCTCAGTCTCCCAAGTGCTATGATTACGGCCATGCACCACCAAGCCTAGCAGAGCATTATTCATTCTGTCTGTTGCTCCAGATTGAACCATAAAAAGAGCAATAGATAGATCAGTTAAACTGATAGATAAACTTTCAAGATAATGCAATTGTTGGGGGTTTTACTGCACTGGTTACTTAGAAACCAACAGATGTATCTATCAGGTTCCTGGTTTGCAAAGAAAACTAATAAATTCTTTAACATGCCTCTGGAAGTGCATCTTCCTTAAGAAACTTGGTTAATAAAATCACCAGGCATGCTACATGCCTGGAATCCCAGCACTCAGAAGGCTGAGGCAGGAGGATCTCACATTCAAGTTCACAAGTACAAGGCCAGCCTGAGGTACATACTGAGTTCAAGGGCAGCCTGAACCAATAGTGAGACCCTGTCTCAAAAAAACAAAACAAAACAGAAACAAAAATCTGGGCAAAAATACATGGTAGCAGTTTGCAATAAACATATACTGACATTGCTACTTTAGAGTTGTTTGTTTCCCACTCAAATATGTAAGAGAATCAGGTTTGCCTCTGTCAGCTACACACCTAGGGGGGGACTGTCAGGGACAGACAACCAAGACAAGTGATTTTACAAAGAAAATTCTACCTGGCTTTTAGCTGCTGCTCCAATTGAACGATTCTTAGGACCAAAAGAAATGCAAGCCCTAGAAGATAAAACAGACATTTAAGAATCAAACTGTATTACAGTGTTACAGTCAAAACCACAGCAAGACTTAGGAATCTCAGCTTAAAAATCATAGACTTTAACAGTACATAATACATAACATGTCCCCAACTTGAACCTTTGTGTTGAGTCCAACTGTCCATGGAATGGGCTGCCCCCAAGAACTGCTATTTAAAAGCTGGAGTACAAGTCTGAACCCCCTGTCTAGAATACTAGAGAGGAAGACAAGCCACTCCCCACCATCCTAATTCTTCAAGTCTCACATCAATATACCAACTCAATACCGTTCTTGTTTTTTAAGACGGCTCGTAACTTCACCAGGAATAGAGTCTACAAACACTAAAAGTAATTTTTGCACTGCTGCATATTAAATAAAAAAAAGTTTTTCCAGAGCTAGCTTCCAAGGACTCAAAACTACTGACAATAACGTTCATTCTCACTTGTTTCTTCTAAATCACCCATTCACACACTGGTCTGATCTATTTATTGATTCTTTTAGAAGGCAAAACTGAAGCCTACTCGAAGCTGTAAAAGCAGTGTCTAAGCTTGAAAGCCGGCTGCACTGCAGCTCATGCCTTGCTATCACAGCTTGTTTTTCATCTAACTCTCCAGAACCTGCGAAGTGCTTTTACTCACGTCACTTCCTTTTCCAGTAGCTGCTTTCACCCACCTAAAATATGACCATTCACTTTTTCTTAATTTGTTTTTGTTTCTTGAGACAGGATCTCTCTATGTAGTTCAAACTGGCCTTGAATTCACTCTATCCCAGGCCAGCCTCAAATTTGCAGAGCTCCTCCTGCCTCAGCCTTCTACCAAGTGCTGTGATTATAGGCATGCACCACCACGCCCAGCTTAATTCACCTATTTCATCAAAAAAATTCTGAAAGATAAAACTCTTGAGTCAACTTCCCCCATGAAGTTAATAAGCTTTTCTCTCCTTCTTACGCTGGTAATGCCTATACTGATTGTGTATGTGTACTGTCTGGTTTAATCCTCAGAGTACCCTTAGTCCCATTTTACAGGGGAAAATCAAGTTTGAAAAGGTATTAACCAATAGATTTATCTAAGGTCGACAATCTGAAGGCAATGGAGAAAGACCTCTGGATAATGTCTCCAGACACTCCAGCTTTGACACTCTCTATCTTCCCGGAACCCCTACTTCTTCCCACCTAACAAAGGGGAAAAGGGCCCCAGAGTGGAGCACCATCCCACACGGCCGAAACCCCAGGCACTCAAGCTGAGACAAGAAGATGACTTGTTCAAGGTCAGCCTGGGAAACTCAGCAAGGGCTCAACACGCAAGTGTGTCTTCTTTGTATTGTTTTGGATGAGGCAAACAGACCATTTCCATCGTCACAGAATACTCTGTTGGATAAAGAATTCTCAGGAATAGTGTTCCCTGACTGTATCGCTCTAGACCCAATCTATGGTGCAGCACACTCCCTCCGATGGCATGCACACCAGCCACGTCGCCCGGCATCGCCTCAGCACCTGAGCACGGCACCACAGTGCACGCAGGGACAATGCTGGCACTCTGCAATCAATAAGCTGGTTTGGGGGTTGCAGCTTGGGCATTCGGTCTCTAAAAGGTTTGCCATCAATGATCTAGACAATATTCTCCTGGAAGTCAATGAATACTTTTACTCTTAAAATCTACATCTGCGGCCAGGTGTAGTGGTGCATGCTTGTAATCCGAGCACGGGGGAGGCTGAGGCCAGAAGATCGTTGGGAGTTGGGGCACAGTTTGGGCTACAAACCAAGCTCAAAGACGGCCTGAACTGCACAGTGAGACCCTGTCTTAAAAAAAAAGACAAAAAAAATCTACATCTGCCTTCTTGACAGTAGAAAGAAGTGTTTCATGCATCTCAAAGCGCCAAATAAACGTCTGTCTCAGTTCAAATTATTCAACCTCCTTTATTTGGCCCAAGCACAGACATTGCAAATAGTTCCCAACTTCTTAAAAAACAATCAAATGTTACTAATGAAGTTTCAGTCACATAACACAGCTATTAAACCTCCAAGTCCTAACTCACACAATGCAAAAATATCACACTTTCATTACCATATTATACAATTGTCAATTATACTATAAACGTATCACTATCAATTTTCACATCTTTTTTTCTTACAATCTAAAAAAAAGTTCTGTAATAATAAACTACTAAAAAAAAAAAAATTACTAGAAAAAGAAAACCAGAGCTTTTCTACCTTGGCATCAACTTGGTGAATCAATGAAAAAAACAGCTGGAGGGCCGGGGATACAGCTCAGCGGCACAGCACCTTGCTTGGCAAGCACGAGATCCTGAGTTCAATTCCCCGTACCGAAAGAATAATTAAAAAAAAAGAGCTGGACTACAACAGTGTGGGCTACCTTTCTAGCTTGTGGCTCCTGTTGTTTAATCTCTGAGATTCCATTTGCTCATCTCTAAAATGGGGGAAATTACAGTACCTACCGTAGGTTAAATCTGATGAGACACTTTTAAAGGGTTTCCATCAGAGTGGCACATCATAAATAATATAAGCTATTACAGCTCCAACAAAGCCATGGAGTAAGTTTCATACAAACACGATGAATTACAACTAGATTGCTCTGAAAATTCTGTTTTCACCTTCTCAACCTTCCTCCAAAATCTACTCAGCCAATTTTACAATTCTCTATTCAATGGGACTTTAAAAAAAAAAAAAAAAAAAAGTACTTTAAGAAAAGCAAATGGAAAAAAAGCAATATGATCAATTCACTGAATTGAGTCAATATGTAAAACAACATAAAATTAAGTGTTTTGAAACTAAACACTTACAAAAGTCACCTAATATTTAAATAAGTAAAAAGCCTAAAAAGATAAAACTTAAAAATTAGGGCCAGAACTCAAACGTAATTCATTGTTTCTGTATAAACTCCTCGGGAAGGGGGAGAAAACCCACAAACAAAAAAGCAAAATAGAAAGAAAATGGAAAAGGTATCAAGAAAAAAAAAACAAAAAACATTATCTGAAGTTCCCCAACCCTCACCACATAGACGGCCCATTACTAGCACGAAGGTAAATACTCCTATGCAATCCAAATAAATCCAGTCCGAGTAAGTCCTTTAAAAAAGTGAAACGCCGCCAGTACCCTGCTCAGCTTGCTTCTCCTCGGTAAGTGCTCAGGACTCACAGGAACAAGCACCTGAGAAGAATACTGAAACAAAATGTATCTTCTACTATCCCAGAGCAAGAAGTTTCAACATTTGCACACAGCCTGTCTCCAAACACTGTAACAAAAAGCCCCTTCATCCCAGGGTTAAGCTCCCTTGTCTGATAGATTTCATTACAGTATCCTTAAGCCAGGCAGTGCACTGAGTGTCCCACACCTGATACTTACCAACACTCTGGGAAAAGAACTACTACTGACCCACTTTACAGACAAAGAACCAATTCAAGTTAACATACCGAGAAACACAGTTGCTAAATAGTGAGATCCAGGATTCAAAATCAAGGCTATCAGACCCCAAACCCATACACAAAGGCCTTTACTGCGGATCAGGCCCCAGTGAGCCTCTACTTCTTACTTCCACTCAGACTACCCCAGTGAGCTCCACCAGGGCTTTCTTTTTCTATTTTTATTTTTGGAGACGGCCCTGCTATATGGTTCAAGTAGCCTTCAGCTCACTATGTAGCCCACGCTGGCCTCAAACTCACAGCGATCCTCCTGCCTCAGCCTCCTGAGGCAGGTATGTGCCATCAAACCAGCTTCACCACGTATTTTGATCCGATCTGCTCATGTCTCATTCTGCCTTTCATATCACTTCAGCTTCCACTCATGTGCCTTCCCTGCGAACATGGTTCTCCTAAGTTTGTATTGTAACCTTGCCCCTAATTGTACTCTTATGCTGTTTACTGTTGCTCTATGTCATTCCCATTTCCTCCCAAATCAGTTATACCTCCAGAGAGCAAGAATCTCTGTCTTACACTGCCTGTCTTCTTTACACAACACCAAGCCAATGTTGTACAAACCCTAAGTAATCGCGTTATTGCTGTATGACATTACTTTTCCTCCATTTCAAATTACATTAACTTAAACTGGTTCTTTATCCTCCTAGCATGCAGGAAGTTAATTCAAATTTAAGTTCCAGATCTCTCTAGTCTAAACTTTGAGTCCTAGAAACAGTACATTTATTCAGCCAAGTAACTTGTTCTCTCCTGGGTACAAGATGCTACTGACCTAACATTTATGTACATTCTTCTAATACTATGAAAAACTACAGTCCCATGGACCCTTAAAAGGTGGTTTCATATTTGAAGTGTGTGCAGAACTACTCTCAGGATATTAGGAGAGCTGTTAATCTTTCCTAAACCACAGAAGAAAACGAGCTTTTCAAAAACCCACAATAACAGACTATCAAGAGCTGTGGCAAAATCAACATGGAAATGGATACTACCTTAGTATTGTCTGATTTTTTTACCTTAGCTTTGAACTAGAAAGTAACAAAATTTAGTATCAAACAGACCAGGCAACTCACACTTTTGAGATATGCAGTTCCTAAAATTCACCAAATCCTTAAGTCCATAAGCCTTGCACATTAAAAGGTGCACAGCTTACAACCTGAAAGGCGAACTTCCAGGTTTTACTTTAATATCCTAGCATCTCACCCAGTAAGTAATAAAGAGCACCCATAAAAAATACAAGATGTAACTGCAATACTAGAAAAATTTTGCCATTATTCACTAAATGCCAGGCACTATTCTAAGCACTAAGTTTAGAAAAAAAAAAAAAGACATGCACTGTATAGTTTTATTCATATCCTCATAACCTTTATGGAGATAGAGAAATCATTTAGGTTCCTAAAACAAATTAATCCCTTAAACTTCTAGAAAGTATTCTGGCAGTATGCCCTGAAACTATATGCACATTCTCCGCCCTATCTGGAAATCTATTCAATAAATATAAAAGCATGAACATGCCAACATAAATGAAATTACTTGCTGAAGAACTATCTGTAACAGCAAAAATAAAAAAAAAAACATAGAAATTATTTGAAGAAAATGTGGTACTGTCATTATATTGCACATATTTTAGAAGGTATATTTGTATTTATTGACTTGGAAAAAAATGTCTGAACTACAAGTGAGAGAAAACAATTACAAATACTGAATGATCCTATGTTTCAACACACATATATCATTTATATGTATCTGTACAAGGAAAAGGTTATGGGAGGCTCCACAGCAAACAGCAAGTAATCAGGAATGGCAATTTAGTTTTACTTTAATAATTTTGTTATACCGAACTAGTAAGAAAAAAATTACTTTAGGAAACCTAAGGTGGAACCTAATGACAAAATTCCTACAGATTACTGTCACTAATTTGTACACAAAGCATTTAGTTCTTAATTGATTCTAAGAAACTTTCATTACTTCTGCAGTTAAACTAATGGAGAGTAGTATAACCAGTCTGAAGCACTGGTTCAACCAACCTTCCTCTTCGAAAACCAAGGACTCACCGAGTGTGGTGCTGCACACCTGTAACCCCAGCACTCAGGAAGCTGAGGCAGGACTGCTGTAAATTCTAACAGCTCTTCCTTAATCCCACCATCATCTTCAAAATAAACAACTCATCCTCCACTTCTCTTAGAGCACCAATTCTACCCCACATCCAACTTAAATTATGTCTCCCTGTTATTCTCATGGTACCCTATACTTTTCCACCTTGTTCTTTACTAGTCAGTAATTACATACTCTTGCTTAGCATCCAGGTTTTTCCACTCGCTATTCCATTACCGCAGGGCCTCATTTGTTTTTCATCTCGCCTCCAGTAAGTAGCATGGCAGCTGCTGTACTGCTAACATGAAGGAAGCTCATGGTTGCACATACCTATAATCCCAGCACTAGAGAGGCTGAGGCAGGAGGACCACCATAAGGTCAAAACCAGCCTATACTACACAATGAGATCCTGTCTCAAAATAAAAACAAAAAAATCCAGAGCACAAGCCTATAATCTCAGTACTTAGGAGGCTGAGGCAAGGGGATCATGAGGCCAGCCTGTGTCACATAGCAGCCTAGCCTTCTTAGCAAGACTCTATCTCAAAAAAAAAAAAAAAAAAAAAAAAAAAAAATTACACCCACAATTTCAAACGAGATTTATTCACTACAGCCAGGTGGCCCTCCTTGTACCTTGCTTCCACTCTACACAAGCCCACAAGTCTCTTTGCACCTAAAATCCAAATCCATTTTCCAGGCCAGGGATATAGCTCAGCGACATAAGCACCTGCCTGGCAAGCCTGAGGTCCTGAGTTCAATTCCCAGTACCAAAAAAAAAAAACAAAAAAAACCCCCACCAAATCCAATTTCCTACAAAAATCAAGCTTTCTGCTACTTCTCATCAGCCCAAGACTCCAGTACAGAAATCTAAAATAAAAATCAGTTGTCAGGCTGGGTGTGGTGGTGTACATCTGCAATCCCAGCACTCGGAAGTTTGAGGCAGGATTACTTTGAGTACTAGGCCAGCCTAGGCTACAAAGTGGAGCTCAAGGCCAGCCTGACCTGCATAGGGAAACCGTGTCTCAAAAAGACAAAAACAAGCATCAGTTATCAAAATGTAATACGAATCGAATTTTGAAACTGGGAGGAGGGATGACAGAGTATTTATGTACATGTACAAATGTGCCAAAATGAGCCAGGCATGGTGGCACATGCTTGTGATCCTGGCACTCTGGAGGCTGAGGCAGGAGGATCATAACCTTGTGGCCAGGCAGGGCAACTCAACAAGACCCTGTCACAAAATATAACTTTTTTAGAAATTAAAAAGGACTGGGGAAATCAACAACACAAACCCCTGGGTTCAATTCCCCATATTAGGATAAGTACTTGAATGTGTGGCACTCCCACATACAAACAGGGATAACAATTATATGGAACACATGGAAATCATTTAAGGCATTTAATTGTATTCTCTTCATGTGTCCCCTCTGGAACTCAAATCTGTTGAATCTTGAGCAGGCAAGGACCAAAAAACTTACATGCCCAACTAGATGCACTAGCCCTTTCAAGGCCTTGGGAAAGCTATCAATACAGATAAAGAAAACTAGGACACAAAGGCAACGATTATCTAACAGGAAACTAATGACAAAATGCTCAAGAACAAACGTTATTTGAGTAACGGTTACTCTTTTAAAAGCAGTAGCCGGGTGTGGTGGCTCACTCGGGAGGCTGAGGCAGGAGGATCGTTTAGAGTTCCAGGTCAGGCTGGGCTACAAAGTGAGCTCAAGGTCGGCCTGCCTCAAAAAAATAAATAAATAAAATAAAAGCAGTGCACTTCCTTGGAAACACAACACCCACTGCTAAAAGTTATAATAAAAAAGGAGACTGGAGCTTCAGTGTCATTTTTTTGGAAGAGCAATGAAAATTTCTCATTGTGATCGTTCTACTCTTTTGTGACTGCACTAAATGGTGAGCTGTACATTACCTCTCAATAAATCTAAGTAAACTATAAACAAACTCGGGGAAGATCTATCGAACCAGAAGGTTATAGGACGGATTTTCAGATGAAGCGTAGAGTTAAGATAGAAAGCGGGGGCTGTTTCAATCAGCTTTTTTATTAATGCAGTGAACTTTCTCAGTAGTAAAGTATACCGAGCATAGTTTGGCTAGAGGGCTACAAGTGTTTTAAAATTTCAGGACGAAAGGCTGCAAGGCGGCTGTGCGGTAGAGAGGGCCCTGGACTCAATCCCAAATCCAGTACTGGAGGAAAAAAAAATTCAAGGTGAAAACGATGAGCATCAGAATTGAGAACCTTAAAAGTAGCACATTGAGAACCTCGAAATTTTAATAAGAAGCCTTTTACAAGATTTTGTCTAAGGGGAAAATGAAGCTTAAAGTCATCTACATGTATTCAAAAGACAAACCCTTACACTAACCAAATAAAGACCTAGGTGAGTCACCTTTTTTGGAGCTTTGTCTACACTGGTCCCATAACTCAGCATAGGTTCTAGAAGTCAAGCTGAGCCCTTGAGTCATTCATGAACAACTGTAGCCAACACCCGGTTGGAATGTATTATCTTGAAAGTGCACCACTATGAAGCAGCAGATGCCTACAGATTGGGCAGAGAATCAGTATCTACCGCTCGAAATCCTGAAATGACGTGGAAAGCAAAAGTGAACGCAACGAGAGCAGGACATCACCGGCTTTATTAATCCCTTCTGGCTGCCCGCGCACCCCCACCTCGAGGCCGGGCCCATCCAAGTCCCCAGTCCTCCCGCTTCTCTTCCGGGCGCCGCCCCGCCCCCACTCACGTGGGCCCTTGACTGCTCCACCGGGTCGGGGCCGGCAATCGCTCGAACCCGTTTCAAACACCTTTCTTATTAGTCGCCCGCCGTGTGCAGAGCGCGGAGCCCTCTGCCCGGCTCGGGAGGCGTCATCGAGCCCGGGACGAAAAGCATTTCGGTCCCTCGTGTGTCCCAACCCGGCCCTCCTCTAGCAGCAGCGCCAAGCTCCCGCGTGCACCGCGCGGGAAGCCTCGCGACGGCGCAGACCGCGCTCGCGGCCGGCCCGGCTCCCCGGGGCCCCCGGTCCGGAACGCAGGCGATCGCCCGGCCGCACTCCCCGAGCCGACGGGTGCAAGCGCGCCCTCCCACCCGGTGCACGCGGCCAGCCCGCCTCACACTTACGGCGTACAGCGGTCGCTATACTCGTTAGCGATCGTCTCGATGCCGCCGGCACGCGCCACAGCGACGTAGCAGCTCTGGAAGCCCAAATCTATGCCCACCACCGACATGGCGCCGGCTACTGCTCGGGCTCGGGCCCGGGTCCGGTCACGGAGACAGGACACGGACCCTGGCGGGGCTGGCGCGCGAGGAGCAGGCCGCGCGGGCTGAGGGACCGAGGCTACTGGGGGACGAGTGTCCACGCAAGCGCCTAGGTCCTTGGGAAGAGAACCGCAGAGCAGGGCGCCGCTCAGGCCGGCTCCGGCTCAGCGGCCGCAGAAGAGGCGCCGGTAGCGGGGGCGGAGAAGATCTCGAAGGATCTCGTAGCGCCGGGAGAGCCGCAGCGCGAGAGCTGCGCAAGAACAGGACGATCTCGCGAGATCCCGGCCTTTAAACACTTCTTCCGGAGGCCCCGCCCCAGGCACGTAGACGCGCACGGTCACATCCGGCCGGGGAAACTGGGAAGGGCTTCCGCCAGGGAAAGGTTCGTGCAGGCAAAGCGGCCAATGGAGCCTAGGCACAGATCTGCCCCCCACCCCCGCCGGCGCCCACGACGGAAGTGAGCTGCGGAGCACCTCCCGATTCATGAGAGAGTAGAGGAGCCGGCTTGCGGCCACAGGCGGAAGCAGTGTGGTCGGCCTACTTCCGCTGCTTTTCTTTTCTTTTAAAGGAACTTCCGGTGCCGGTCTCATCGGCGCTCTACTTTCTATTGATCGGCGGAATGGGACCGTGAGCTGCTCTCCCATTCCGGGTACGTCAACCCGTATGCGAGGCGCCGCGGTGGAGACTCGGCCCTGAGTATGTCCTTAAATCGGGCTGTGTCAAAGTCATGCAGCGCCCTTCCGGCGGAAGGGAGAAATCCACTCCCAGTCACTGCCTCCTTTTTTTTGTCTTTTTCAGACAGGTTCTCGCTGTGCAGTTCAGGCTGGCCTTGAGCTCACTTTGTAGCCCAGGCTGGTCTCGAACTCCCAACGATCCTCGAGTGCTGGGATTACAGGCGTGCGCCACCACACCCGACACTGCCTCCTTTTGTCTGGCCGTACTGATCTCCCAATCACGCATGTCCTTAGGGGACACCAGGGGCCTGCAGGACTAAGCCTCTCAATCCCGAACTCGCCCTAAGCACCTGCTCGGTACTCGGCCCTGAGCTGGATGCCGGGGACCCAGAGATGACATGGTACCCACTCTGGAAGGGCCACTCGGCTTAGTCGGTGGCGGGATTGTGGGAAGCTGCTGGGTCTTCAGCTTCAGGGTCCCTCACTTTGACGGGCTCCTGGGAACCCAGGGGCGGCGAGAGACAGGGAGTGTTGCGGGTGGAGAGGGGCTGTCAGCTCGAGATCCGGGAAACAAGGCAGGATAAGCGTCTCTGATAAATTACGTAAAGAGACCTGGGAAGAAAGGGAATCTGAATCCCCACGTCTCCAGTAACTTTCTGTTATAGACAGCTAAATTAGGTAGAAATAATCGTGACGGTCAGACAGGGCTGGGCCCTCGAGGGAGTGAGCGCAGAGGATGTGAATGCATTACTGTGGCTGGAGGTGCATCGTTGAAGGCCAGGCCTCAAGATAAAGACTGAGCTGAGCGTGATGGCACACGCCTGTAATGCCAGCACTCGGGAGGCTGAGGCAGGAGTATCTTGCGAGTTCCAGGCCAGCCTGAACTGCATAGCGAGACCCTATCTCAAAAGGACAAAAAAAAAAAAAAGGACAGAATGACCAGGCCTGCGTGCCTCCCCAGGGGATAAGCAATAGACTGTAATTGGTAACCCCTGGTCCAGTAAAGTCTGGATAGACATCAGTCGCCCAAGTCGGGGACCAGGACCTCCTAACTCATCTCTTCCTAAAAAGGATCTTGTTCTTTCCACATACACTTGCTACGTGACCTGCTTCCCCATTGGATCAACATCACCCAGGGCACAAGCGCCTGCCTGGCAAGCTCAAGGTCCTGAGTTCCATTCCCAGTATCACCTAATGATATCACTTTATGTTCTTGTTGACATGCAGTGTTCAAAAAAAAAAAAAAAACTTACTGGTTGATTGTAGTTTTTTCCCAAGTTATACCCACTCCGGGATTTTGCTCTATAAAACCTCCTTTGAGGGGCTGAGGGTTTAGCTCAGCGGCACAGCACCTGCCTGGCAAGCTCAAGGTCGTGAGTTCGATTCCTGATACCGGAAAAAACCTTTGAGAAGTGGGCACCTTGGCAACCCACTTGCTCTCCCTGATGAGCTATCTCTTCCAATAAAGGTTTCCTACTCTTCACCTCCGTTGTTCCTTAGAATTCATTCGATTGTGGGGAACACAAGCTCCGTGTTCGCAAAGGGTCCGCAAAAGTGTATAAGCTTCAGATCTACAAAACCTGATCAGCCAGGCTTGATGGTACACACTTGTAATCCCAGCACTTTGGGAAGCTGAGCCAGGAGGATCGCAAATTTGAGCCCAGCCAGGGCAATTTAGCAACTTAGTGAGACCCTGTCTGAAAGTATAAAAAGTTTATAAGAGTTGGAGATGTAGCTCAGTGTGATCCCAGCACTAAAAGGAAAAAAAAAAGTGGATCTTCCCCATCAAGAGTAGCTAAACAAGTCAAGAGGACCCTAGTACAGGGTGGCAAATGCTATGTGCACACAATGGTGGACAGTAAAAGGACTTCTAAGAAACAAGGCTAAATTCTCACTGAGGAAAACAGCACTAGCTAATATGGTCTGAAGACTAAGTTTGGTTAGCTGGAGGACAGACTGAGTGGAAGATCTCAGGGACAAAGTACTATAATTGCCTCTGGACCATTGAAAGAGCAATGACAAGAGCTCGCTTGGGTAGCATATATACTAACATATGAATGATGCAGAGCACATTGACATAGCTCCTGCATAAGTATGACACAAATTCGTGAAGTGTTCCATATTTTTAAAAACAGCTGGGTGCCAGGTGTGGTGGTGCATGCTTGTAATCCCAGACTTGGAAGGCTGAGGCAGGAGGATCATTGCGAGTTCGTGACCAGCCTGGGCTACAAAGTGAGCTCAAGGCCAGCCTGAACTGCATGTTGAGACCCTGTCTCAAAAAGACAAAAAAAAATAATTTCTGATATATGATAAAATATAAACATTGGAAGCATGTGAAATGAAAGAACAATTAGACATTTTGTAAGATTCCATTTGCTATCTGTTTTTTTGAAACAGTCTCACTATGGCTCAGGCTGGCCTTGAACTCACAGCAACCCTCCTGCTTCAGCCCCCCGAGTGCTGGGATCACAGGCATATGTCACCATGCCCAGCTAAGTAGGATTCCACTTTTATTCCACTTTTATGAGGCACCTATAAAAAGCAAACACATGGGAAATGGAACACTGGTTAACCAAGCTTGTGGGATGGAGAGTTACTATTTAGGGATACAGTGCTACAGTTTGCTATGATGAAAAAGTTCTGGGGCTAAATAGTAATGGTTGCACAATGACACTGATTTGTAACAAATGATTAAAATGGAGCTGGGTGTGATAGTAAAAGTCTGTAATCCCAGCACCCAGAGGCCAATACAGGAAGAGTTTGAGTGAAGCTGGTCTGGGCTACTGACCGAGACTCTGACATATTTTACAATTCTTTAAAATTTGAGAAAAAGAAACTAGGGCCAAGGGTATAGCTCAGCGGCACAAGCGCCTGCCTGGCAAGTACAAGATCCTCAGTTCGATTTCCCAGTACACACACACACACAAAAGAAACTAGCCAGGCACCATAGTGGTGCATGTTGTAGCCCCAGCTACTTGAGAGGCTGAGACAAGAAGATCCCATGACCCCTAGTTTGAGGCCAGCCTAGGACCCAGCAAAACCCAGTCTCGAAAGGTAAAGAAACTGGGGCTGGGGATTTAGCTCAGCAGCACAGCACCTGCCTGGCAAGCGCAAGGTTGTGAGTTTAATTTCCGGTACCACAAAAAAAAAGTAAAGAAATCAATCTTTTTAAAAGATTAAGTTTGCCCTTTCTCTGCCTCCTGTTTTTCTCCTCCCTGGAGCAAATATGGCTAACATCAAGGGCCTTAATTACGAAGAGTCCTGTCTCCATCTGTTTGTCTGAGTTACTAAGCACTAGACGAACAGCCCCGGCTGCCTGGCTGCGGTTTCTAATCTACCCAAAAGATCACCATGTCAGAGTAACTGACTCAGTTCCTGCCTCCCTTCTCTTCGAAGGCCTCCCTGCCCTTTAGCTAAGCCGGCGAAGATACATCCAGATCTTTCTGTGTTCAGCTTCGTACCTCACCTCCCCTAGTGGCCTTGGCAGAGCGTTCAGTTTCAAACACCACCAGCTCTATCAATCTTTTTAATGATTCGTGGATTGTCCCTCCCAAAATAAACTGTAACGAACATCAGTCACAGAGAGTACTCATCCTGCTATAAATAATTTCTTGGATCATCAGTCTTATAGCTCAAGAGGCTATTCTGGGATATTTAAATAAATGAAGTCAGAAAAAGTTATCTGAAAATTCTGAAGAATCTAAAGTGGCAAGTTCCCAAGAACCACAATTGGGAAGGAATAAAGTTTCCAGAATATTTAATGTTAGAGATTACAAGACTGGAGCACAAGTTCTTTTAATTCATTAGAACATTTGAGTACTTTAGAAGCCATTAGTTTTTATGTTTTTCTCTGATACAATGATTACATTTAGTCCTAAGCAACCACCGAAAGTGTTTGTTTGGTTTGGTTGGTTGGCCA